GAGAAGGAGAAGGAGAAGGAGAAGGAGAGGAAGAAGAGGAAGAAGAGGAAGAAGAAGAAGAAGAAGAAGAAGAAGAAGAAGAAGAGGAGGAGGAGGAGGAGGAGGAGGAGGAGGAGGAGGAAGAAGAACAACAACAACCCTGGTGCTGTGTAATAAGGAAGGATGTTTCTGAACAGAGCTAGGGACGGTGAGAGGCTGCCAGAGGCTTCCTGGTGTGCTCTGCTTGACCTCCCACTTGACTCGTGGCACCTCGCCTGTGATGGAGACCATGTGCCACTCCCAGGCCTCCACTTGTGGAGTGTTGAAGTGTTAGTCCCATAATCCAGCCTACAAGTGGCCAGTAAGATGGGTGCATGGGGCACAGTGCAAATTCCAGCCCCTTCGATAAGTAACCCATGGTCTGGAGTTTGGCCTGATCAAAAGGTGCAGACTAGGATTAAGATTCCAGATAAGTAGAATGAGTGTCTGGGGAGAGGCTCATTAAATCTTTGAGGCCGAGTGTGTTAACTTGTGGTCTTTATTTAACCCACACAGAGGCAGGATTCTTTTCTATTTCAACTCAGTTTAGTGGGCAGCCTGTCTCTTGAATGGCCTGAAATATAAATATTGTGTTCACTAAAGTGAGGTATTTCCCCTCGCCATGCCAAAGCCTGGTTTTTGAATCCTCTCTGGGAAAGAACTCTAAATACCATAAATGTTTTGTTTAAAACACACATACATACACACACACACACCAAAAAAAAAAAAAAAAAAAAAACAATTTATGTTATCTGCCCCTCATTTGTATCTCCTAATGAAACTGATCATCTGCCCCTGTCTACTTGTTGGCAATGTAAGTTTTGAGGATCTCATCACAGGAAACTTTGAAAATGAGAAAATAATCTCAGATATTCATTATTTAATTATTTTTTTACTTACATGCATGTAAGTACAATTTGGATAAAATAGATAAATACAGGAAAATGAGATGTTCTAGAAAGGAGACATTGTGATATGGATTGTGCATCCTGATTCTCAAGACACTCCTCAGAGACACAAAGAAAGAACACCTATAGGAGTCCTAGATATAGTTCCAGAAAACATAGATTTTCATGGAACAAGGATGGACATAAAATGTGTCTTTTATTCTTTCCTAAAAGTGTTGCTTTTTTTTTTTTTTTTTGGTACTAGTGATTGAACCCAGGGGTGCTTAACAACTAAGCCACATCCCTAGCCCTTTATTATTATATTTTAATATATTTTATTAGAGGCAGGGTCTCACTGAGTTGCTTAGCACCTCATTTTTGCTGAGGCTGGCTTTGAATTCACAATCTTCCTGCCTCAGCCTCCTGAGCAGCTGGGATTACAGGCTTGTGCCATCGCCACGAGCAAGGGGCTCCTCCTTCTTGATGAAGCAAATATGAAACACTCTCATCTAAACTTGTGTGATACTTGTTGTAGAGCCAGAGGTGGAAAAGCACATTTGCTGGATTTATTCACCAATACTGTTAGTTCTCTAGTTTTCTCTATAAATTTACCTAGAAATATATAAAATAATGAAAATTGGTGATTCTCCAAATATTATCACTACAGATCTTCAAGGAATACTTTTGAAGGAAGAAGTTACCCTTAGCCTAAGAAGGACCAAGTTGAAAGTCTGAATAGGAAATTGTTTAGATTGATTCATTAACTGCTTTAATAATGATAAATTATTTGTATGCAGTTATGTGACTTGCATGTCTTTTCTTGATTAGCTGAAAAATGAAATACCAACTCAGAATTTTGTATTTCCAAAGATTACACCACTTCTCATCTCAGCCACAAGACAATTCCATGTTAGGTAAGTTTCACTTGATTAGAGAAACTAAAGGAAGAAGTAATAATAGTTAATTGTCTATGAAGAAAAACACATTTATTTTTGCCTCTCACTGTTTTTAATTTTTAAATTATTTTTCAATTGTCAAAACATGCAAAGTAGACATGATAATATAATTAACCCTCTTGCACTCACTACTCCCAGCCATTATAAGCCTCTACCAACTCACCTTTACTGATTTTGAATAGAAAATCATTTCATTTCATCCTTAAATACTTTAGTATGTTCTAGAGTTCATTTAAAACCCAAGTAATGAGCAATAATTCCTAATATAAGAATCTTTGAAAAATACCCTCTTTCAAAAAAGAAATCTTCATTTAAAAAAGGGAGGGATCCCTCACTCTTTTAAATAAATGTCTAAGCGGGGCTAGTGCTGTGGAGGGGCATCTTTGTAAATGATTTTGCAAATTCGACTTTGCTCCCAACCCTACATAGCAGGATTCGTTCTTTTCTTTAAAGGTAAATAGGGACTGATTCATATTTAAGCCATGCCCCCAAATCAGTAGCTTTGCAGTAGGGGGGTGGCAGTAGGCATGCTTATAATCTTTAATGAAAACCACAACTTCATTTGAAATAGGGAATTTGATATGTTTCTATTACGTTAGTGTTTTATAACTTTCTGCTGCTCTAACAAAAACCTGGAAGTTTACATGTTCCTGGTAACCACATTGCCCTTTAAAACTTGAAATAAACAAAATCTCTTTGATGAGTGACCCATAGTGTCATAACTGGCAGGAAAAGTGTAATGAAAGGAGCTGGCAAAAACCATGAAAGTTTTTTTATGGGACAAATGCTACCAAAATAGACCCACAGACTTCTGCTAGGTGATGCTCAGAAAACAAATGTGTTTCAATACATCTCTTAGGAAAATCAAGCTGAAGTCATATGTCAAAGATTGCTCAGTGCACTTTGTTGGTTATGCACAGGCAGAGCTTGGGGTTGCATAACTGAGCCACGTTTTATTCATTTTGTCCTTCAATGTTATTTGGGGCCACGGTGTTCTTCTTATTTATATTTGGAAATCAGCGCTTAAACCAGGCATTGGCCTTTCATTGTAAATAACAAGGCATCACGTTCTGTTTCCCCAGGTGAGCAGCTTTTTCAGTGCCTTCTCCCTGCGCTCAGAAAACCCAGGATCCTAACTCCTGTGAGAACCTGTCTAATTTAAGCGCTGCCAAGAAAACATGAAGTAGTTTATCCTACACCACAGTGGAGGTTGAGTGGATTGTGGGGCTGATCAAAAGGGATAATAGGTTGGAGCACCAAATAGAGCTATAAGAAAATTCATTTCTCAATAGATGTCTGCGTGTTTTGCACCTGGCTTGGGGTTTCTGTTTAATTCCCCAATAAATATGGCTGGATCAATTTTTCAGGTAGTTTAAACGCAGTAAGAAGTGTCAAAAAAAAAAAAATCAGAAAGTGAATGGCACCTAGCTTCCTTTTGTGAAGATGGCTATCAGTACTTTGAGACCTCGCCTGTCTTCCTTAACTCCTGGGAACGTGCCTTCGTTTAGGTAGTGTCTGAGGATTAATTGGCAAGAAGCTGTCTCCTGATATTGAATTTCTTCCTTCCCAACTGACAAGTAAACACAACTCCCACAGTCCACTGTGCCCCAGAGGCTGGTCAACCGGCCTGCAGACCTGCCTTCCTCCACGCACCTACTTGCCCTTCTCAGGGACTAGAATTGCGGTTAGAAAGAAAAACAATGGCCCTCACTGCCACCGTGTAGAGTGGCAATGGGAGGAAACGACAGAGACACAGGAAGCGGGGAGAGAGGGTTGCTTATACAAACAAGCCCAGGGAGGAACAGACTATGAAAACAAAGGTGAAGCTGGGAGAAAGCCGGCAGGGCCACAGAGAATGTGGCCAGGGGAGGGGGCCACCAGGGGGGACCTAGGTGCTGCAGGGCCCTACCTCCATGATCCAGTTTTCAGGGGCTCATGAAGTATGAGGCAGCAGAGAGGCCAAGAAAGAAACAGGACATACCAACCCCTGGGTTTGGAATCTCCGGGTAGGGCACCCCAGTCCCTGCAGGAATCAGGAACGAGCTGCCCAGCCCCTCCACACCACCCTTCCTGGGCTCAACCCTGGGGGAGTATTCCCAGCCAGTACACAGCTCTAATACTGTGATGGGGAAGTATCTGGAAACTTGTCAGGTTTTCTTCATGGCCAGTCTCCCGACTGATGCCCTGTCTTTCCTGGTTCAGGGGCTGGCTTCTCTGGGATGGATAGCTGCTCACCTGCTCCGTGTTGGCTTTCCCAACGTGCCTAGGAGATGTCTCCATTAAGGAGTGTGTGCTCTATTATCATACTGGTTGCTCTCCCTGGCTGTGATCCAGGGCAGCAGCACAGGACCTGCACTTAGCAGTCACTCTGTGAAGACAGCTGACATGAGGTTAATTGAACTTCCCACCTGGATTCTTACTCCCAGTAAAATACTCTTGACCTTTGCTTTCCAATGCTGACCCTTCTCTGATGCCCCTCTTGACCACTTGAAGCACTATCTTGCCTTTTTGTCCAGAAACTTCTAAACAAGAAGACCAGGAGTGTTCCAGTAGAGCAATAAGGAAACCATCTGCCGCCTCCCTGTTTAGCATGTTATGAGTAGGTCCACTGTTTGGAGAGTCCTGCCATCTCCAGTATTCCTGTGTACAGTTAGTCTTGAAAGATATACCACCCCCACACCAATGCAAGTGATTCAGACAGGAGCATGCCCAAAGGTGACCCTGGGCAGAAGCAGTGACTAGAACTGCCCTCTTTCCATCAGCCACCACCAAGACAGGCAACACATTTTTTATATGCATTATTTTGGGAGGAGGGGGCTATTGCTGTTTTCTCATTGTGGTATTAATAAAAGCTTTCTTCTTGACAGGTAGATGGAGCCTTGAAGATGGTGCTCTCAGAGTAAAGGTAGGATTAGTTGAGTCCTGATGAATGTGATTCAGAACAGAATTACTCCCTCATAGAGGCCTTCACTTTGGGGGAAATCTCTCCATGAGCTCTGAAAAAGCTAATTTAAGCCTCATATTTTGTGATTTCCTTTATTTTGCCTAACTTGTCAGTGACATCTTAATAGGCATACAAAGTTATAGTGAAGGTATGGAGAAGGTAGGAGATGGGTCAGGAAAGGGAGGCAAGACCTACCTCATGTTCCTGCATCCTCCCCAGTGTCTCTTGGAGGAAGAAGAATTTTACAGAGGGACCTCAGTAAATAGCAGCCATTGTATGCCATTTACTGTGACACATAGTGGAACACTCAGCTCAAGGAGCAGCGGTCAACTGATCACTTAAGGTAAATATGAGACAGGGAAATGATGCTTGGGTGACAGAAAAAACTGCCACTGAAGTCACAAGTTAACTGTGTGATTAATTTTTAAATGTGTGGCCCTCTGATTAAATTACAAAGTCCATGTGGGCAAGGATTATGTCCAGAGTTATATTCAATAAAGAGTTGTGAATTGGTGAATAAATAACTCATAAAAGTACTGACTCTTAAAAATGTTCTTATTTTTAAAAAACACCAAAACATTGTTTTGACTCTCATCTCTCAGCTAAGCTTTAGATAGGCATGAAGAATAATGTAGAGGAAATAAATGAAGCTTCCTCAGTATGATGTACTTTTCTGTTATAGTTGCCAAAATTTATAGGGCTTGCCTGCATAACTTAGCCCTGTAAACAGCTATTTTCATTCATCATTCTATAAATTAGGCCTTGTGTATGCTGCTCACATTAACTGGACTCATTAATGACTTCCCTATTCCTCCCATTTGGAATTGTCTCTTTCCTTCATCTTTCCAAAGGACACTTAGGATTCTAGGAACTTCAGCTTATTTATCTCAAACTCCCACAGCACTTCCAACAATGCCACGCTTGGTTGAATTAAAGGGAATTTCTAAAGGTAGGACCCATCTCTAAATATTTGAAGGTAGAGATGAACCTAGAATTAATGGTAAACTATTTTCTAAATATTCTAGTAGTCAGTATAGCTGATTACCTTTTAGTCTTGGGCAAAGACTTACAGGGTAGGGATTTCGAAGCAAGAAGGAAACTCAAAAACTCTTAAGTTTTTTTTCATTTTATAAATAAAGGTAGAAGACAGAATAGAACTTAGCCTCTATTTTTAGCTCTGTGACACCATATTTGATTGCTGATAGACAATTCACTGAATAGCTTCTAAGTTTTATCAGTATCTATGCTCCTTTTAAAATCCTGTGTTGGATTTTAAATATATATAAAAGTACTTTAAATTTAAAGTGCTTGTTATGTTTTAGATATGAGGAGTCCCCCAAAAGCTCATGTGTGAAAAAATGCAAGGTTTAGAGGTGAAATGACTGGGTTTTGAGAATATTAACCTAATTAGTGCATTAATCCTCTAATAGGGATTAACAAGGTGATAACTATAGGAAGGTAGGGTGTGGCTGGTGGAGGTGGGTCATGGGGGATGTGCCTTTGGAACATATAATTTGTTCTTGGTGAACAGAACTCTTTCTCTGATTCCTGGTTCCATGTTGGAGATGCTTTCTTCCTCCCACCTTTCTGCCATGATATTTTGCCTCATCTTGGGCTCAAAGCAATGGAGTCAGCCATCTGTGGACTGAGACCTCTAGAACTGTGAGCCCCAAAATAAACTTTCCTTGTTCCTGCCAGGTCTTTTGGTCACAGTAAAAAAAAAAAAAAAAGCAACAACAAAAACTGAGTAAAATAGTGCCACAGAAACTAATCGCTTTTTGACTATCTAGTACTTACAAAGCAGCTTCAGAGTTAGCCCAACCCGTATTAGTCCTTTAAATATGATGATATATGTAGAGCTCTAAGCACAATCCCTGGCTCGAAGTGAGTATTCAACACATAATTGTTTTTGTTTTTCTCTCCAATCCTGGAAAATATTAACATTTTTGAGCACCATATGAACCCACTGCATATGACAATAGCCTTTCTTGATTTACACTGAAAACTCAAGGTATATGGGGAATATTATTATCTAAATTAATACGAGCAAATTCCTTATATTTTATCCCTGGATAAGTTCTTATCCTTTTTTTTTTAAATCCTGTATTGGATTTTAAAGATACATAAAAGTACTTTAAAGTGCCTGTTATGTTTTAGATATGAGGAGTCCCCCAAAAGCTCATGTGTGAAACAGTGCAAGGTTTAGAGGTGAAATGACTGGGTTTTTAAACTAGAGTACCTTGGGTCAAAACTCTGTTTTAAGAGTTAGATTTACAATGATATTTTCTGGTGTCATTTGGATACCATATCATTTGCCATACAATTTAGAAAATCATGCTTCCTGGTATCATTGGTTTTGGTTTGGCAATTGTCACAAATATTTACATCAGTCTTCCCACAAACAGGATTTGGGTGAAGCCAGGATATTATGAGACTTCCTGCTTATTCATAACACTTGAATAACTAGAACTCAAATACGAGGTAAGTTTTTACCAACTAGTTGGAACTTCAAAGAATAAATTCCTTATCAAAAACCATATCGCTATGAAGAGATTTGCATCAATCTTTAACAGCAGAAGGTGCAGGATGGAAGTACATCAGCTCAGTCCCTCTTAGGTGGGGACACACAGAGGACATGTGAATGTGCTGCTTTTAAAGTGATTCTAAGGGAAAATAAACATTTTAGAGCTCTGTTCCTCATCCTACAACCTTTTCCCCATTTGTGTTTCTCCTCTTCTTATGCAACGGCTAATGTTTTATTTAGAGGTTGACTATTACAGGCAATAATTCTAACTTGGTATTTGACTTCAATTGGATTTTAATTAAAATAGATCCAGATTGGAATGGGATGTCTTGTGAGAGAGTAGACTCCTTGGCTGGATTTGATGCAGATGCTGGGCAGTTGTACACAGAGGATGTTGAAGGGAACTTGCTTTGGGAATTTGTTCTATATGGCTAATAAAATTCTTTCCAACTCCTGAGATTTTATTTAAAGATCTAAGTAGATATGATCATATTTATCCTTTGTTTTCATTGTCTAACTATTCCATTTATACGGGATGTTCAGTATTTGACTTGATCTTGTGCTATTTGTTCCTTTTCTCTTTATGCAGGTATATATTTGATTTTAAAACCACTTGGTTATTTTTAATGCCCAGAGGCAGTTATCACAAGAATACTCAATAGCCAAAGAATCTCCCTGGGACAAACATGAGCAAGTCCAGAGCAACACATGAACTATGGATCCTAGAAACTCAGACCAGGAAGCTTGAGGCAAGGGTACAAAAAAGAGGAACTGGGAGATCATAAGAATGATTTGGATTACAATTTCAGAAGTAAAAATCTAAAATAGTTAGATATGTAAATACAATTAAGCATTTCCTCAAGGAAAGTTGAGTATGCACATCTTGTTGTGTGATTAGTGGGTTGCACTTGTTCAATACTGCCTTGATCATGAGAAGATGGATTAGAATCTGAATTGCCTAGTAGGATTATTCTACTTCTGTGTCCTCTTTTTTTCTCACCGCTACTATTTTAATTGAGTTTTATATTTTTCTTATATAACAAGCGAATGATTATGGCCCTGTCTTCATTCTCCTTGAGCCCTCCAAATTTAAAGTGCCTTATGAAATTGGGATCCTGAGTGATTAAACAAATGATCGAACAGCTGCTCTTGTGATCCAGGAATGGAAGAAGCAGCAATAGTGGCCAATTGCTGAATTGCTTTCCCATCAATTCCAGAAAGATTTGGAGGCTTGTAAGGAACTCTTAATCAAATATTCTGATAATGAGAGACAAAAGTGACCGATTAAAAAAAAAAAAAAAAGACTTTGACTCAGTTCAGTGGTAGAGTGCTTGCCTAGCATGTTCAAGCCCTGGGTTTGACCTCCACTACCACAAAACAAACAAACAAAACTGACCTAAATTAAGGAATCATGAAATTTTAGAACTAGGGCATATATATTAGAACCATCTTGACTGCTTTAAAAAACAGTGTCAATGTTGAGATTCTTGAATTAGGCCTAGGAGATGCCTTACTTTTCCGATCAAGGCAATGAAGGCTGCACCAGATTCCAGAGCAAGTGGTGGCAGTGTGAGGCCAGCACCCATTCTCAGGACTGTGTTCTCTTATAAAGACACATTGTTTTAAAATTGTTTTCTTTCTTTCATCCCATTCCCCCCAACCCCAACCCAGGTCCAGATGGTAACAATGACCTCTATTTCTTCACTCCAGTTTTTTCACCTCTGCATTTACCACACATCAGCTGCATCTTTGAAGGATTTCTCTTGCACAATAACTTGGACACTCCAGACTGCTGTGTTTATTCAGAGTCCCTGAAACCAGGGACACTTGCAATAAACTGAGAGCATGTGGAGTTCATGCAGCTCCCCACATGACCACGCACGCATCTTGAGATGAAACTGACCAGGCGGATGGTATCCAAAGGGTAAGGATTCTGATGGCACCAGGTTGGAGGCTCGGGAAGGCATTCTCCTGGGCCTCTCTTGCCCTTAATTCTGACCTGTAAACTACACTCTGGGTAAATGGTCACATGAGAGGCTCCTGGGTGGCCAAGCCAACCTCATGTGTCTCTTGTAGCCTTTCAAACCGAGGAAAGCACTTTCCCTTGCAGACGTGGTGAACTAAGGTTCTGAGACTGGAAAGCGAGCATTGTCCTGGGAAGGTGCTTGACTTCTATACCCCAGTGACACTCAAAGCTTTTAATCTTCCTTCATCCTGTCCCCATGGCATTTTTTTTCTTTTTCAAAAAGCAACAAATTCTGTGGGTTATCACTTATGCCCCACCCCATTCTTCTAAGTCAGCTTTTGTGCAGGAAAATAGAGAACTGTTTTCATTGCCTTATCAGTGTCCCAGGAAAGGGGAAAGGAGCGTCTGGCCCGCTATCTGCGCCTTGCCTGGGGACAATGAAATGCTGAAAGCAGGCTCCAGGGGCAAGGGGCTGCCCCTTCAGACCCACAGAGTGTCTGCAAGGACCAGAGAAGGAGGCCAGGGAGGAGGGGCTCTGCTGAGCCTGCTGAGAACATAATAGCCCCTGGGGTGGGCTGCTCCAAACAGGAAGGGTGTGGGCAGGATCTGAGTGCAGCTGCTCCTGCCGCCCATTCCCACAGCCTTTGATCAGCAGGCAAATGGCATTTTGTGCCCTGAGATAAATGCTTGGTCAGAGGGTGTGGGTGGCTGTGGAGGGGGATAAGGATTAAAGATGAAGGTGTTTTATAGCCTGCCTTAAGGATCTGGGTTTCAAACCTGGGATCAGCGATATGCTAGGTACCAGTGGACAGAAGTTTTCCCATGAACACATTCATTCATTCATCAAACATCTGTTGTGTATCCAGAAGATTCAAGGCA